TGATGGTGCCTGGGGTTGGTGGGGCAGCCATGGGGGCCTGGGGGTGCAAGTAGGGGATGAGGCCGGGGAGGGCAGCCATCAGGGGGGCTGCACAAGCTGGTAGGGGATAGGGCCAAGTGGGCCAACAATCAGGGGGATAGGGTAGGGCATGTGGGCCTTGCAGGGGGATGGTAGCCCCTGTGGGGGTGTGGCAGGGCACTGTGTGCACCTGCCACTTTAAGGCCCTGGAGCTGGCAGCCTCCAGGTGCCTAGTGAGGGCAGCCATTTTAGAGAGTGAAGGGCTAGGGACTCAGAGACTGAATGAGAGAGTACTCTTGACTGGCCCAAGCTGGGGCCAGGACCAGGATGCTCAAAAGGGCCGGGGGCCCACCACGAAGGATGCCCAAGAGCCCGGGGCCTGGGGTCCCAACTGGCCTAGGGGTGGGCCAGGGCTAGAGGAGCCAAAGGTCCTGGGGAAGGACCACACCAGAGAGGGGAAAATAGATTCAGGGAGCTACATAGCCAAATAAAGGCGGGGAGGCTGCCTGAATGGAGGGATCATGCAGGGGTCCTGGTAGAAGGATTCTGGGGCCCAGAGCAGGGCCAGTGATTATGGGAACATTGCGATGCCATCTGCGAGGCTTGGGCTGCAGTGTAGGGGAGGAATGGGGCCACAGATAGCACCCCCTGGCATCGGGGCAGAAAATGGGCAGCCTCCCACTTAATTAACACCTATATTAATTCATTAAGATCAAGGCGTGGCAGGCGAGAAAGCGGGAGGTTATCCCAAGAACAGGTGGACGGGCCATGTGGAGATCAGCACCGAACCGGCCCCCTGTTACAGGGGGCCATAGCCCCTGTGGGATGGCAGCAAAATATATATTCATGTTTCATGAATACATGTATTTAGAGTTCACTTTATTATTATGATTGAGACACTGGTAGGCTTCCACACTGCTTTAACACTGTAGATATGTCAATAAAATATTGTCCAACTGATCGCTGTATCTGTCTCGCTCCCTCTCTCTCTTTATAGTGGTATTTTGTTTTATTTGTGGAGGAACATGGATTTGGGGGTATTTTAGAGACTGACTCCGGGATTTTTTTTTTTTAAATCAGGGATTTTTCAGTTTTCCCATAGGGAACACCAGAATTCCTGTTAGGGAGGCTAGTGGCAGGACCAAGCTGGCACCTTGGACCCAACTGGCTGTGGCTGACCTCCTGGCCAAATGGGGCCAGAAGGACATGCTTTGACAGTTCAAAGCAGGCCACCACACCTGGAACATCTTCCGGGTGATAGCTGCCCAGGTGGCTGGGCAGGGGGCACACGTGGCAGTAGTCCCATACAGAGGCCAACTCTGCAGCCACAGCCCACTGGCAGCTGGCCCAGAATGGCAGACGCCTCTACTGTCTGTGCAGTCCCCATCTGGGTCTGGCAGGTGCACAGCAGGTCACAGCCAGGCAGCAGCCCCCACTGCCAGACTGCTGCAGCAGGTAAAGGATGCAGGGAACTCTCAGGGCTGCTGCAGCAGTCCAGCTGGCACAAGGGGTAGTGTCCCCAGGTACCAATTGGCTGGGCTCCAGAAGCTCCTGAGAGCAAGTAGCTCTGAGCTACTTTCCAGGGCAGCTTTTTGTATTGCTGGGGACAACACAGGTGCTGGCCTGGGGTTCTAGCTTCCCCTGGCTGCAGATCCAGAAGGAGCCAGGCAAGGTTATTTTGCCCCAAATGGCACAATTTGCTCCACAACAAAGTGCATGTCCAAGCACATGTGCCAAGGCAAAAAACCCCAGCTCAAATTTGCACCGCTTCTATTTGAGCTGCTGCAAGAGCACGTGCTTGCATGAATGGATGTGCCCAGAAAGTCTGACTCTCACTAAAATCCAAAGTGATAGTGGTTCCTTTTTTTTTTTTTGCTCTTGTCCAGGTTAGTGTAATGTTGTGATGCTACTCATGATAGATTAGAGTTAAGTGTATTGCACCCAAAAAACTGGATGAATTCCTAAAAGGTTCTGATGCTCATGAGGAAGACATCATCTGATCTATCTACACTTGGGCTGGAAATCAGGTGAGGTAAAGTACTCATCTGAGACACCTTCTTTCCAGCAATGCTAAAAATGCTTCCCAAGGGATACGTATACATACATTGAATTTACAAATCTCAAAGTGAGTTGGAGGGCTGAATGATGTTTTAGCTATTTTCATCTGAACAGGTTTACACATCCCTAACATGATTCATCTGAAGACAACGCATCCTGAAAGTTCTGTGGGCAATAAAATGTCTTGCAAAATAACTAAGCCAGCCAAACATTAAAGAATGTGCATCTGCTTTCATTGCTACTTTAATTTTAGTGTCAGCAGGACTCAAAGAAACATTTATTAGTCGCATTTCGAGCTAAATAAAGTTGCATACGCATAATTTTGATCCCTGTGCTCTTTCTATTGCAATAAGCCTTTTTTTCCAACAAGAAAAGTCAGTACTTAGCATGGACTGAAAAGTTTCATCATATAATCATTCATGAGTATGCTTACCTTAAAGTCATTGTTGTATCTACCATAGTTTACTCGACCCATGTTTTCTACCAACAGGTCCAGATTTGCTCCAGCCTTTCCAGTTATATTTATCATAAGTGACTTGCCTCTTTCAAGGACTCCCTGAGGAATCTGTATTCCAAAAATAAAAATATAATGCAATCATGCAAGGGAGCAAAACACTAAGTATTATTAGACTGCAGTACTCATAGGTATGTCTGTTCTTACAAGGGAAAATATTCCACTTAAAAGTCAAAAGCCATCAGTTAAATGGGTCAGACAGATATTCTCTTAAGTGGTGTGTCTGTTATTCAAATAACTGAAAATCATCAGTTTCCTCAAAAGCAGGTGTACTTAATTCTACTAGTTTCAGTCAGTCAAAGCTCTGCAGACATCTAATGCCTACACAAGCTGTTAAAAAGTTCAGATGTTTGAAAACAGCTTTTATACTTTATGGGTGAAAATAAGACTAATGCTCAGATCAGGTTCATATGCATAACCTTATTTAAAAAGTCAGATGTTTTAGAATACGAAACAAATCAATAGTCCTGCAGTCCATTCTGGAGGTACAAGAAAAACAAGGTCCATAAAGGAAATGTTAATATAATCTGATAGAGTGAAGAGGAGCAGGTCAAAAACAGGCAATGAAATGACTTCTCCCCTTGGTGAGCAGAAACAAAAATAGTGTTTGCACAGCTGTAGGTTGGGAGAGGGTGTGTGTAAATTTACATCCTGTACAATATATGTTTTTGAGTTTGTGTGCAGAAAGCAGCATCAAAAGGGAAGATGTAGGTTCAGGCTTCGAACATCTGACAGATATTTAAGTGACAAACCAGTAAGTGAATTAATCTTCTAGATATTTTTGTTATTCTTATTGAGACCTTTTACCAATTTCAAATAGCTTTAACACTAATGGTCAGACTTACCTTAGAAACTGTGAGTACAGACTAGAGTTTTGAAAGTTTTATTGAAAGTTGATGTAAGCAAACTGTATGATCCCCCCACCACCTACCCACTTTACTTTATATTGAAGAATGTAAACTGCATTTGCATAAGTGAGGGAGGGAGATCATTAAACATACAAATACCTTTAATGGTAGTTGCTTAAAGTATGTAAGACACACAGTTGGATAGTCCTAATTTTGAAGTCATCCTTACCCCATCCACAGAGATATAGGCACGATCATGAACGCCACTGACAGGTGAAATCAGTAGGGTTTCTTCACTAAAATTTTTTTTCAGGTTGGTCCTGTACAACACAAACCCAAAATACTAGAGGAAAAATAAAATTAGAAAATCAAATTATTCTGAGGCCTGAGATCAGGTTACAAGTTGGTTAACAATACCCAGCATTCCTGCTTGCACCTCAAAATTTCAGTTTTCAGACAGTATTTGGAGTCATTATTAGCTATTCAGGTTAACTGATTTCACCCATCACTCTTCAGGGTAAACTTTCACAAAAGTTTCCATGATAAAGTTTCAGATGCACCATTTATATAACTTTGAAGATAAAGGTCTTGGCTAAGATTTCTCCTTTTCGTTTAAGTGAAAGGAAGCAGTTACGAGCGATTGCATCGATTACTTCATTTAAAATGATCAAATGATAGCTGGAAAAAACCTTAGCACCCAAATTTCATAAAACAACCTACAAAAAGTTACAGCTTTAGGCAGGCACCTATTCAGTAATCCCTCCTCCCACAGTGCATGTTTCTTGGTGATGGTAGCACCTTCCTTCAGCTGTAGGCTACTGGTTCCCAGGTTCTAGTCTGCACTTGGTTCAGGAAGCAAAGGAAAGCAAAGGGACAGGATTTTGGAGCTGGGTACATGCAGTGGAAAGACAAAACCACAATTCTGTCAAGAGTGGAGACTTCATTCCCTGCAAAGAAATTATCACAAGAAACAATGGAAGCACAGAAGAATGGCAAGAGACCAATATGGTTTCACAAGGAACTTCTAAATGCCTCAGAAAGCATACAGGCAATGGAAGAATGGACAGGCTACCAAGGAAGCGTGCCAGGAAATACAAGAACCAGCAGGGAAAAAAATCAAAGAGGCAAAGGTTTAAAAAAAAAAATGAGCAGCACCTGGCAAGGGAGGTTACAGACAACAAGGAAAGGTTCTGTAAGCAGGCTGACCAGAAAAGACAGACCAGAAAAGCTGTTGACCTATTGCTAAATAGCCACAGGGAACTCATAACAAAAGATGCAAAGAAGGTGGAGCTGCTCAACAGCTACTTTGCCTCAGTCTTTACAACAAATTTAGCTGCAATTAGACATCTAATAAAGACTACCTGGGTACGGAGGTGGACAAGCTGAGGGGTGAGATAACAAAAGAGACAGATTCTGATGAGTCTGACTGAATTTAAATCAGCAGACCCTGGTGAACTGCAGCCCAGGGTACTGAAAGAACTGGAAGAGGAGATCCCGGAGCCCTTGGCGATAATATTCATGAAGTCATGGGAGATGGGTGAGGTACCAGAGAACTGGAAAAGGGTCAGCATAATGCCCCTCTTTTAAAAAAGCAACAAGGAGTACCCAGGGAACTACAGGCTGGTTAACCTCACCTCAGTACCTAGGAAGTTACTGAAGCATAGCTAAGGAGGTCTATTAACACGCATCTGGAAGACAAAAGCCTAATCACAAGCAGCTAGTGTGGAGTTACTAAGAACAAATTGTGTCAAGCAAACGTGATCGCTACCTTTGACAAAATAACTACTTGGCTAGATGAAGAGAATGCTGTGCATATTGTTTATCTGGACTTCAGCATGATTTCTTACAAGGACCCACATGATCTTCCCAAAAACAAAATATCAATACAGAACGGATGGTATCTGGCTGGATGGCAGCACTACAGAGAAGGATCTGGGAATCTTGGTAGATTGCAGACTCAATACAAGTCTGCAATGTGATATAGCCACACTAATGACAAATGCAGTTTTGAGATGCATCAATAGAAGCATTAGGTGCATGGGAGGTGATAGTGCCTCCACTTGGCACTGGTTAGGCCTCATCTAGAATACTGTATGCACTCCATATTTTAAAAAAGATATGGAGAAGTTAGAGAGCATCCACAGGTGGGTAATGAAAGTGATAAAGGGCTTGGAAAGCAAGTCATATGAGGAGAGGTTGAAGAAAACAGGTGTGTTCAGCTTGCAGAAAAAATGCTCAACAGGGAACATGATAGCAGTCTTCAAATACTTGAAGGGCTGCCATAAAGAGGGAAAATGCCTTTCCTGTCTTGCTGCAGAGAGTAGGATACAGATCAATGGCTTGAAGTTGCAGCAAAGTAGGTTTGGATATCAGGATGAACTTTTTCATTGCTAGAACAGTGAGGCAGTGGAAAATACTTCCCAGGGAAGTTGTGGATTCCCTACTACTGAAGATGTGCAAGAGGTTGGACAGCCAGTGGGCAGGGATGATCTAGATGTGGCTATGCCTATGTTCTCCTGTGGGTATTTCCCAAGTTTCTGGCGTTCACCAATTGTGTCATAGGGCTCAGAGGGAATTTCTACCACTCCCTTTCCCCCTGTCTCAGGGTTCTTTTTTTAAGCCTTCCAAGGCAGGGTAATTTGACTGGGACATGCCAGTAGGGGCGTGCAAAACAGGCTAAATTCGATTTGGATTCTGCCCAAATCAGGGACAATGATTCAATTCATTGATTCGGATCACTGTCCTCGATTCGACTGGGCCAAATCCAAATATGAACATTTGATGCTGATTCAGAGAATCAGCGATTCAGCCATAGACACAGCTTTAAATGTTTTTTCTACATACCTCAAAGTACCAGGCGGCTCATGAATGCTGTGATGCTGGGGTGGATGGAGTGTCTCACAGGAGCATGTTCAGCAGTGAACCCAGAAGTGGACCGGAAGCACTTCCAGTTCACTTCTGGGTCCATCAGGGGGCGCACTGCCCCCCGCCCCGCTTTCTCTAGTGGACCTGGAAATGGACCAGAAGTGCTTGTGGTCGGTCCACTCTGGGGAGCCCCCTGTGCTCCTGTGGGAGACTCCATCCACCTCACCATTGCAGCATTCACGAGCCGCCTGGTACCTTGAGGTATGTAGAAAAAACATTTAAAGCTGTGTCTATTTTTGAATCTCCAAATCTTTCTGAATCTCTCTGAATCAATTTGAAGGGTTTCGATTCAATTCAGAGAGATTAAAGGGTCTCCTGATTCAATTTGGATTTGGAGATTCGGCCACTGAATCGGGCTGAATCTCCACTGAATCAAATCAGGGCCCAAAGCTTCACACAGCCCTACATGCCAGCACTGCTGCTGGCACTTCAACCTGGAGGTTCCCAGCCACAGAGTTTTGCACCTCCACACATAGTCAGACCAACTGCCATATCTAGGGTCAAAAAGGAATTTTACCTCCTTGTCAGATTGGTATGAACTGTGGAGGTTTAGCAGCAGGGGCACAGCCCTCTTCCTGGGATCAGTTGAGCATATTTTAACATCCTTTACAGAAGCAGGATATTGGCCATTGCGTCTCCTGCTTTACCTGTGGCAGACTGGGACAGGGTTTGGCAACATTTTGGGGCTGAGCACCAAAAAACCCTGCAAACTGGACTTTGAAGATACCGGCATGCCAGGGGCAGATGGCAAGGGAGCGATGAGGGGCCCAATCCTTCTCGTGGCAGCACAGCCCTCGCCCCTTCCCCACTGTGTTCCGCGAGGTGCATGTGAAGTCATTGCCACTAATGAGCCATGCCAGGGCTCCGGATTGTGGCATAGCTAGTTGCCATCAATGGCTGCAAGCACGCCTCATGCAGCACAATGGACAAGGGACTGGGGCAAATCAGCACATGCTGGGCCTCACCCCTCCCACACGCTCCAGACCAGAAGAAGTTGCAGCTGTTGCTGGGGTGGGGAATTGGGGCAAACAGCTGGATGCAAAGCTGGCGGTGGCAGCATGGAGTTGCTGTGGCCGCTCCACCCAGCTCTGTGGGGCTCCCCAAAGCACAGGGCCCAGGGCAGTCACCCCGATTCTCACCC